GGCGAGACTCTGCAGACGCAATGCGTGCAGAACAGAAAAATCTCTGTGACTAGTGAGAGTGTGTGACTAGCCCAAGGTCATCCAGAGGTTTTCCATGGCCAAGCCAGGAATCGATCCCTGGTCTCCAAAGTCATAGTCCAGTATTCAAATCACTAGACCACACTGACTCTCATAGTTTACCTTAATCAATGCCAGATGAAAATATTGGTTTCAGTTAGCTGAGCCATGTACAGTATTTCACTGTTAAAATTAACATATTGTCCATATTCATAAATTACATGAGTGACATGTTTCTCTTTTCATGAAGGGTCCACACACAACAATACAGAACTTTTTGGCATCTAAATGTTATCTAAAAAGAGCAGCTTTCCAGTTCTCAGATACGGGACATCCCTTATCAGAAAGGACACCTTGGTAACTCATTGGACGTTTTCACACTAGTCCCTAAAGCCGCCTGGAGCCGCTCATTCCGGAATGGCTCCGGCGGCAAAAACTTAATTCCTTTTTAAAAAAGGAATTACCTTTCCGGCGCTGATGCCGGAGTTAGCGCTGGTTCGGCCAGAGTGAGGCCGGACTTGCTGCTCCGTGCGTGTGAACACACGGAGCAAGGAGCCGGACTGACGCAGGGATGGCACTGGAAGGGGCGGGGTTTGCTGCGGCGTGAGTGTGAACACACTGGAAATGGAGCCGGAGTGGGGCCGGACGGAGGTAGGATTGCGTCCGCCTAAAGCCCCGTGTGAAAACGCCCATTGTTGTTGTTATTGTTGTTGCATTCCTTCAAGTCATTTCCAACTTAGGCAACCCTAAGGCAACCCTATCATGGTTTTCTTGGCAAGATTTGTTCCGAGGAGATTTGTCATTGCCTTCCCTTGAGGCTGAGAGCATGCGCAAGGTCACCCAGTGGATTTCATGGCCTAACTATCAGACCCTGGTCTCCAAAGTCATAGTCCAACACGCAGACCATTACACCACAACCCTAACTCACACAAAACAATAAACCAGAACTGAAACATATCCTAGCTGATCATTCATGAGATGGGTGCTAGTTCAAACTCTCATCTGCTTCTGCTTGGTTTCTACAGCTAATACAAGTAGGTACAATGATCTGAACCTTTCAACAAGAAAAAGCTTTCTGTTTTGTCCAAATTGGGGATTCTGGCTTACTGTTCCCAAACATGGCAGGAACTAAGAATCAGCTTCAATGCATGGCTTCAGGCTTAAGAGTGTGACAAACTATGAATCCCAATTCAGATGTAACACAGCTTTTTTTCTTCCTGATTAATCTCCAGTTATCACTCATCCACGCAACTCCAGTCAGGCAGGATGTTCCAGCACAGCAAATATGAATGTAACTCTGAAGAATCCCAGTTTATCATTTTGTGCAATTTTGCATTTTAGACAAAGCAATTTGTTGTATGCTGTTGTTGTTGTGTCTTCAAGTCATTTCCAACTCATGGCAACCCTAAGGCAAATCTATCATGGAATTTTCTTGGCAAGATTTGTTACCCATGCCTTCTTCTGAGGCTGAGACTTGCCCAAGGCCATCCAATGAGTTTCCATGGTCAAGTGGGTATTCAAACCTTGGTCTCCAAACTCATATTCAAACACTCAAACAACTATACCACACTGGCTCAGTTTGCTGCCTAGCACACCCAAAATGTACTTTGAAACAGTTGTGGTTTAAAAAACATTTTCGGAGCTTTGTAACCCATGCAGCTTTATTAATTCTGCCAATCTGTGAACCAGTAAATAGTGCCATTTTTGTTTCTCTACTACCATCTGAGCTTTGTTTTGTAGGATCTAAATACAAATGTTAAAATACTTCAAGGACAGTCATCTTAATGTTACCTCTTTTTAAACAAATATTTATAGGCCAGGATTGGGGGAAGACAGTACTCTTATACTTTTAACAGTAATGTAGAAGCCGGAATTTTGGAAATTGTAGTGTGTTGAGTGACAAGCATAACCTAAAATGGATGATGGATCAATCATTAATAAAAATGAAGACTGTAAAATCGACCCTCTTATCTATGGATTCTGTTTCCATGGATTCAAATCTATGACTTTGATTATTTTTTAATTCCAAAAAGCAAACCTTGATTTTGCCATTTTATATAAGGGACACAGTTTTACCACATCACTGTATATTATGGGATTTGAGCATCCACAGATTTTGTTATTCGCGAGGGTCCTCGAACCAAACCCCACTGGATACCAGTGGCCCACTGTATTTAAGAAATCAGAAGAACATGATTTGAAATAGTAATGGAGGAATTAGCTAAAGTCCTCAGTTGAAAGGATATATAATCAAATTCCAGTTCAGAATCATCCATAGAATCATTTCTGATTTCTATGTATGGTGCAATGAACAAAGCTGCCAGGAAGAAAATAAAAAATGTGTTTCTGGAGGGGAATTCTATAGATAACTATCAAAGGACAAATAAATGGATTTACCAAGAGCAAATCAAGCCTGAACTCTCCCAAGAAGCTGATATGACTCTCTACACGATCCATTTGCCTTATATGCCAGATGCTACAGCAGAGAGACAGAGGCTGGCAGAAAAAAAATGTCAGCTTCATCTCTTCATCCAGTGCTACATGTAGGAAGCAATTTGGGGAGGGACAGGGAGGTGAGCTAGCAAACCTATTCCAATACCCAGATACACATTTGCAATGGAAAAGAGCAAGGCTCTTTTGAATCCACAGGTGCATGATGACTCAGGCTGCAAATAAAATGTGGCATATAGGCAGGGGCTAACAAATAGTTCGCTGTGATCCTGCCAAGCTTGCTAGCCCCTGCTAAGGTCTTGCTGGAACTATTCCTAGCAGTTCAAAAGCTGTGCCCTTCTACTTCAGCTGGCATCATCTCATCAAAGCCCATCAAGTGGGCACTGTGTTTCAGAGCCAACCACACTTTTTAGCTGCCAATCCATAGCCTTAAGAGTACAAGCTCCTCTTATAAAGATGACAACACATCCAAGGCAGCTTGTCCATAATCTGCCAGTTATCCCCCCAGGGTTTTCTGAAATGCACATGGAATTTTATTCTTGCATTGAATCATGTCGAGTTAAAAAGAAAGGCATCTCACCACAGGGCTTTTGCAGTAGACCGCAGATACACAAGTCCTGTGGGTCTGAGGGTCATGTTATTGCCCCTGGGATCCTCCAGAGACTATATAGTCTGCCCCCTCAAGAGATAACGCCAAAAGATGACACTCCAAGATTGGAAAGCACTCAACAAGCTACTGGAGTGCAGCAGAGGAAAATTACAAGTAGTGTTGTAGCTGATGATGAAACTGGACTTAAGTCAAAAGGACATGGTCAAAGGTGAATGGAAAGTCTGAAGCTATAAGAACACAAAATGTTAGAAGCATGAACTGGGGGAAGCTAGATATAGTAAAACAAGAAATGGAATGTATATATATTGCTTTGGGTGAGAGAACTACATCTCTGTTAGTTTCATTCAAGGATTCCCAAATGGTACTAGCTCTTATGTTTTTTGGTACCCACCCAGAAACTAATGCCTAACCTCCTTTTTTTCCATACATACTGGCTAACAAAAGTGGAAGCCATGACTGGCATTCCTCCAGAGAGTCTCCATACCAGGCTTTTGTCATGCAAACACTGCCCCACCTCATTTACAGCAGGAGAAGGAGAGATTGGGAGCAGTGTCCAGACCAAGGTTTGGGAACCTCTTTCAGCACAGTTCTCTGAAAAGTTTGATGGCAGAGGTGGGTGATAGTGAGTGAGCTGAAAAGCAAACAGGAGGGATTTAAAGAACCAGCATGTATTACCTAAAATCTCTAATTATTTTCAGTAAACTTAAGCCTTAGGAGAGACATTTCAACCTTTTGATTTCAACCTTTTAGACTGGGGAAAAACATAGAAAAGTTGAGAAATGAGCAAACAATAGTGTCTTGGCTAAGAGAGCATAGCCATCTGGGAAACCCTATAGAATTGGGCCAGGACCCCACAAAGACCAGATTCAACCCCAGAATCTAAACAGCTTACCACCTTTGGTTCAGACAATGCCATTTTCCATTTATATCCCTTCTATGTTTTTCCACCATTTCTGCCATCTTTCCTTCTCCTCATCCATTAAGAAGGAAAAGATGGAAGAGCTGTAGCATGCTTTACACAAGGTAGTTCTAGGAGCCACTCATCTGAGGGCAAACATTTTCTAGATACAACAATTTTCTACATACATTTTCTAGATATTTTCTAGATACAACCATTTTCTTACTTGCCACAAGCCATGTGATGCTGCTCTGACATCCCTAGTCCAAGGATTAGAATGCAGTACATCTCAGCAAGGTGCTTTTTGGTCACTATCAGATTGATTTGGTTATCCTTCAGTTCTTTCTTTTCCTGAGCACTTGGCTTTCTGTTTGATATTAAAATAAATAAATAAATAAATAGTCAAATACACTAGAGCAATTTAAAAATTAGATCACAAAATTACAGGACAGGGATGGATGGCACACCCTAGATTGCCATGATAGACTTGCTCAAGTGGATATGTGGTACCCACCAGGCTATCATTAATAGATCAGGAGATGATAACAACAGGATCGAAGATGCTCAAAAACAAGTAGCAGGAGGGAGTGGAGTACACTGCGCTGGAATGCAATCAGAAAGGTCAATGAAAAAAAGCAAGGGGAACATCAATGCTGATCTTTCCAAAATCTCTAGTTTAAAATCCTATTACAATCAGTAAAAGTAACCAAACAAAACTAATAAGGTGAAGATAGGAGTGAGACTAGAGTATGGGAAATTGTTTTTACTAAGTTTTAATTCCTATTCCTATTCCTATTATTATTCATTGTCATTACTACAGTGAAAAGCAATCTGTCATGTTACTTGTTGTGTAAGTTGTTGTTTTACCATTACTTTTTTAAAAATTATGTTATTATTTTATTATTATTTTATCATGAATTGGTAAACATACATATAACAGAATAACATAGGGAATGGCATTTCCCTCCCTTTACATTTTCTACAGTCATTTCTAAAGTCATTACAACAATGTGTTCATTCTCTCTTTAAATTCAGAGAATAAATTAAAAAAAAAATAGGAAAAAGAAAAAGAAGGAAGGAAGGAAGGAAGGAGGATGAGTGGGTCGTTTCTATGGTGCCAGAATAGTACCACTTACCTGAGTTTGATTAGA